TCTCACACGGTATGCCCGTGGTACATACAAGCTTGACTGCAAGTGGAGTGAAAGATGAGCCCTTAATGTTCTTGAAGCTAACATTGCTTATCTTAACTTTTGACGGAGGCTTTTGTTCACACTGAGTATATGGGCAGTACAATTGGTCTACGAGGATAGGGTTACTGACATTAACCATGATAATATCCTCATAGTGTATACCCGAGGCAGTGCTAGGCGAAGGAGAATCTGGAAATGTTTTGATTCTCACACCGTTGTCCGTATTAGTCAGGGTGCAGTTCTTAACTATGATCCCGGTCACATCCTTTTCGTCCTTATATTTTCCAAGGCTTCCAATGCTTATTCCATGGCCTGGCCCACAAGTAACATCAGTCACTGTGATTTCGTGGGAGTCATCACCAATAGAAATACAGTCATCCCCAGTTCCAATCTTTGCATGAGTAATGTTGATACCAGTCGAAGCCCCGATATGGATTCCATCTGTGTTTCTACTGTCGTCAGGTGCTGTGATGGTAAGCTGTTGAAATGTAGTATGGTTGCATCGGAAAACATGCATGTGGAAAAATTTGCTGTTAAGTGAAGTTATGTCCTGAACTTTGGAATTTGTGAGGAATTCGAACCGCAGATTAACGGGAATAGGTTTGCAATTTTTGTTTTTGTGGCAGTCATTTTGATTCCAAGAAAGTGCTCCTTGGCCATCAAAAGTCCCACCACCTGATAAGGTGAGCATGTCAATGTACTGAAAACCAACCCAAGTATCCGGTCTTGTGAGTTGGCTAGCGTCTGCTGGAGCCTGCAGTGTGCCTTGAACTTGCATCTCAATAGGAGCCTTACAGGGGCCTCTGAAATTTGCTTCTTTTAACTTGTATGTCCCGCTCGGAACAACAACTTTACTCGCGGATGGCGATGCACATGCATCACTCCAAGCCTTGGCCAAGGCCGTACTGACATCAGAGCCAGGCTTTGCACCGTATGTTGCACTCGTCACGTCAAACACACTAGCATGAGCTTTAGGTGTAGATGCTAACAATAAGCACAAAAGCATTGCCAAGAAACTTAATTTCATAGCCATCTTGATTTTCCTTCCCCTTTGTTATTTTATTCTCTGTGTTTTTTTTTCTTTTTCCCTTTGGAAGGATGATGCAACTCCATTTTGAGTTGAGGCCAATTTATAGTACGATTGGGAAGGCTCAACACCATCAAACTATCCAACCAATCACTAACTATTTTTATACACAGTTGCATTCTAGTTTAGCTTTATATCCTATAATTAGTAAGCTGTTTAGCCTTGAGAATATTCATCACCAAATCTCTATCTAGAACGTGCTAAGCTGTTTGTAGTATTGCTGTCCTCCTCAACACCCCGCAAAATATGTATATTCCAAAAAAGGAGGACCAAAACCATGCATACACACCTGGATAGAGTTAACAAGATCAACAGGAAAAGACCATGCCTACACTATTGAGAGATCGTAAAGCCCTAGATCGAGTTACGTGATTATCCAAGCCTAATTGAGTCCTAAGTGCCCTACAGTAGATTTGTAGCTCGAGTTTAAGGCCCGCGAACGATTTTGGAACAAGTTCGGACAAGTTCGAAAGCTAGGGTTTTTGGTTCAAGACTTGGATTTAGAGTTTGGAGATTAAAATTCGATTTTTAGAATTTGTAATTAATTGAAACTATTTTTAAAATAATTTTAAATTCCACAAAATTGTTTAAGATAATTAATTTTTATTTATTAAGTCATTTTTATGAAATTAATTGAAATATTTAAATACTAATTCTTCACTAAATAGTATAGCCGCGCGAAATATAATATTTTAACGGTATAGCCGCCCGGCTATACTCCATAAATATAATATTTTAACAGTATAGGGCTATTTCTAGCATTTTATGGAAGAGTTTGTAAAAGATTTATGTAATGGCCCCCAAACTAAGTTATTCACACTCTTGGTCCCTCAAAAAATTGTTTTCTAGCTTCACCCTCCTATTTTTTTTATTTTTATTTTAAAAAAATTCTTATATCCTATAATTAGTAAGCTGTTTAGCCTTGAGAATATTCATCACCAAATCTCTATCTAGAACGTGCTAAGCTGTTTGTAGTATTGCTGTCCTCCTCCACACCCCGCAATATATGTATATTCCAAAAAAGGAGGACCAAAACCATGCATACACACCTGGATAGAGTTAACAAGATCAACAGGAAAAGACCATGCCTACACTATTGGCGCATCTATGTATATACTTTTTCTAATATCATCCAACTAGAAAGTGCCTCATCTTAACAACTTTAATTCATCTACTTAGCTTAAATAATCCATTTGCACCATTGTGGTGGTTAGTTCATCTATTTTTGACCATACTCTTTTTATTTGTCTTATAATCCAGAGGTTTTTCTTGCTATCCGCCGGTGACATTGACCTCACCTACAATGGAAACAAAGGCCCTCTTAGCTCTCAATGTTAATGTCAAGCCCACCATTACTTGTGTGACAAAAGCCCTTGCCTGTGCTAAAGAAGTGGAAAGTACTAAAGATAAATTGTTGTGTTGTTTGATTTTTATTTTATTTTGTGGTGCTTGTGCCGGTCTTTTTTCTTCGCTCAGATACCTTCACATGTTCTGAGCTACAAAATTCTAATATATTTAATATTTACAAATAAATTGCTTGTGTTAAAACATACATTCACTAATTCATCATTGTCTAGATAATGCATCAGTTTCTACTCTATATACTTTTCTTGGCCTCCAACCAGTTCGAACAAGAGAGCATTCTTTCTCCCCATGCTTGGCCAATTGAAGCTAGGATTAGTATGCCAGCTTGATTTTGATCCTTCCGCTATATTAATTGAAGATTATCAGACAAACTCAATGTATATATATATATATACACATATATACACATTTATTCTCTCATACGGACGGTCTGCACGTTATTATCATGCGGGCGCCATTGTAAAGAAGCAGTATACTTTTAAAATAAATTAATATTTAAAGAGTGGCTATACTTGTTATTTATTATAATATTTTTAATGTATAGCCCTACGGCTATACTATTTAAGTATAGCCGCCGGCTATACTGCATAAAATAATTGAGTAATTTCTTACCATTTTAAAATTACTTTAATTTTTATGTATTTAGTGAATAATTAGTATTGAAATATTTTACTAATTTCAAAAATTACTTCAAAAATTGTAAATTAATTATTTTAAATTATTTTGTGGACTTTTTTATTTATTTAGTTTTTTCTACAAATTCAATTTATTTTGTTTAATATGTTCGAATATTTTAATAGTATAGCCGTGCAACTGTACTATTAAAATATATTAATATTTAAAGAGTATAGCCACGCAGCTACACCCGTTAAATATATTCGGGTTTTAAGAGTATAGCCACACGACGATACTATTAAAATATTCAGACATATTGAAATATTTGAACATATTAAACTAAATAAACTAATTTTGTACAAAATAAAATAAAAAAACAAAGTTAAAAAAATAATTAAAATAGTTCATTGCAATTTATTAAGTAATTTTTGAAATTAGTAAAATATTTAAATACTAATTGTTCACTAAATTTATAATAATTAAAGCAATTAAAAAAGGGAGCTGATTTCTCCACTCCATTTTTCTCCACTTATACTCTTTTTTGCTTTTTAATGATTTTTAATCAATTTTTTTCTTTTTTGTTCTTTTTCTTTCCTATTATACCCTTACCCATCTTATTTCTTTTTACTTCACTTTTATATTATTTCTTTTTCTTTACACTTAATTTTCCAACTTGCTTTTTTTTTTTTTTCCCTTTCATCAAGTAAGAAATAATTAACACTGTATATTTGTCTAGGCAAAATTATGTGGTCCACCTGCTACAAAAACACATGCCCACGGATAAACCTTGCAACCATAGGGATTTTTTATTTTTTATTTTTTATATTTTTATTTTTTGTGAATAGGCAAAAAATTTCTTTAGTGATTCATTTGCATCTGGCATCTCCCATTCTTGAACTAGAAAATAGTGATCCATTCGAGAACAAAATATAAATATTTACTTAGATGCTTCATTGGACTGTTTAGATAACATGGGAAATAAAAGAAAGCAAAAAACTTAGCTCCATTGGCATGTTCTTTTTTTGGTCAATAGCTGAAACTTCATTGAAAGCCAAAAAATATGGCTAAACAGAGATAGCAACAAGAGTGACAACCAAAAAGTACAGACAAAACCATCGTGGTTGCCAAAAAATTTAGCTCCATTAACCAAACTATATCATTCCAAACAAGAGCAGAGAAAAGTTATAACCACAAAAAAGATAATTTAGCTCCATTAACCAAACTGTATCATTCCATACAACACTTCTTCCTTGTGTTAAAAAAAAGACATGTGAAATAAGGATGAATCCATCCAACCACTTCAAAATACCTACAAGAAAGAAGACTAATTAATTAACAAACTAATTGATCTCTCATAATACTATTTACTACTGTAAAATTTGATGAGATACAATTCCCTTTAATAAGAAGACATGTACAATTACATTGAAAATTATGAAAGAATAAAAATATGAGACTATTATGCATAAGAAGTACCTTGCTCTCTGCATATCTAAGCTCCTAATGACAGTTTGGTTAGTAACATTCTTTGGTTCTTCTACCTGTAAACATGTTAGTCAAAAAAATTTATTATCTATTAACTACAACAAAGATAAATAGTACTCACATACTTGGTAAAAAAAAATAAAGAATTTGGCACACAAATACTTACATTTCTATCCATGTCCAAAAGGTAGAATTAAGAGGCAACTTGAAATGGACAAGTACTTTTATTGTGGCCAACACCTTTGCAAACACTACATTTATGAGACTTTTCAACTATCTCAAATTTTGAAGGTTCACGCCTTGTAGAGCTAGATCCATTTCTCTTCTTTGACCCTAGTGGCCGTCCTTTATGAGGTTGAATCTTAGGCTCCAGAATTAAGGGAAAAGAAGTACCAACAAATTGAGATAGTTATCTCTTTGTATCATCTTTTTGAAGAATGGGCAGTTTTTCATACTTTTCTTTGAAGTCCAATAGAAGACTATTTATTTGATCATTTTCATCATCCAAACTTCCATGTTGATCATTGTTAAACAATCGTGCATCCATCCTCCACTGATTATGTATGGCATTTAAAGGCAATACTTGAATTTTCATATCCTTAATCATGTGTCCACAAGGAATACCCATCGTTTTGAAAAAATGGCCTGTGCATTGAGATGAAAGATTACCATATTTTGCAGCTTCATGTTGCTTGTATAACTCATCTAAAGCAAACATAGATACATGAGTAACAACTTCTTCAAAGAATGGAATCCAAAGTCTATATGGAACACGAACCTTTTCACTTGAGAGTTGAGTTTTGATTTCTTGAAATTGATGTTCAATAGCAAGACATATTTTTTCTTTTACCTCACGAAGACCTCCGGTTGAAACTTGAAGATACTTCTTTAGTATTGCATGTGCACCTTCAGCTCTTGAAGTAGCCCGATTACCTAAGTGTGCAACCTCATCTGTCCATGCACTTACAAATTTTTCTTTCAATGGCAGCCAAGTACCACTAATATAGTTCAAAACAGCAGCATTCTCCTTGTACTCGTTTTCAAAATGATCCCAAGCTTTATCGAATGATGATTCATTTGGAGATTTGATTAAATCAGCCCAAGTAGATAGGAAAGCAACCCAATCAACTTCTTCTCTAAAATGAGGTTTACAATTTGCAAGAATGTTTTTCTCAATATGCCACACGCATAACAAATTACAAGCACTTGGGAATACAATGCGTATAGCATTCATTAAGGCCAATTCTCTATTTGATATGATCACCAATGGCTGATTATGAACTCCCAAAATTTTATTGAACATTTCTAGAGCCCACACATAATCCTTCTCTTCTTCTTTTTGCATGAAGACAAAACAAGAGTAGAATGAAGTGTTGAAACTTGAAACTCCTATTATATCCAATAATGGCATCTTATACTTATTAGTTTTATAAGTGCAATCCATCAAAAAGACATGTGGATAACTCTTACTCAATTCAATTGACATAGGATGAGCAAAAAACAAATGAGTCAAATGCCCTTCTTGGTCATACTCAATGATATAAGAGAAACCACCCTCACCAAGTTCATCCACTAATGCTTGAATAACCGTACGTCCTGCTAGGCTCTCTTCCAAAATTTTAGCCTTCTTATTGTAAATGTTTTGGGAAATTGCTCGAAGATGAGGATTGCTCTGTCGAAGTGAAGAGAGAATTTGGCCCGGTGGTATACCAGCCATACACATTTCTTTAATCCGAATAATTTCCTCATTTAAAAATCGACGACAATAGGGATGTCTAGACATGTCCGTTGAAGGTTCATGATTATGCAACAAACTTTTAATCTCCAATTTCCAAAATCCTTGAAGTTTCCTTTTCTTTTTGCCCCAAATTTCAAATGGACAGTTTATGAGGCGAGATGCTGATTTCTTTTTTCTTTCCTCTAGTGGAACTTTTCTGCTTTTATAATTACCGCCTCTATCACAACCAAGGACAACATATATCTCGGATTTAGATCTTCTAATAACTAGTGCATACCCTTGCACAAAGGCAATCTTACGAGCAGCTTCAATGAGGTCTTCCCAACTTTGAAAATTTTTGTTTGTCAAAGAGAGCATTTTGTCACTTTCATCAATCGATGCTTCACTGCCTATATCACAAACCATCCAATTTATATGAAACATAAACTACACATTGGCTACAGCTATGAAGAATGTTTATGCTTCACTGCCTATCACATATTAGTTAAGAATGAATATATATTACAGAACAGGTACTGCTATGAGACATTTCATTGAGCAGTTGGTTGGTGCCTCCAATGGGTCGCACCAGCAGGTCACCACGACCTTTACCCAAGGGCAAAAATAAAGAGATAGCAGTGGCACTAATTTAAACTTGTCTTTGTGTGCACATGAGAAGATAAGAGGGCAAAAGAAAGACAGAGCACACAAAACACAAACTCAAAATTGAATTGCAATTCATCAGAGCACCAAGTATTTCGTAAAACTGAACCTATGAATAAGATAATATGTAATGCTCAGCAAAGTGAATTTCTTTTTAATACAGAAACATCTTTTAGAGTTCAAAAAGCTTCCTTTTGGACACAAATGTAAACCATCAATGCCATCTCCCCACAAGGTTAACAAATCCCTTATGAAAAGGTTAAACGTAAAGATACACACACATACATAAAACCAATATGCTAATTCACTGCTAATAACCGATAAAGTTAGATTAAGTAAGAAATAAAACGTACCATGCATAATATCTTGAGAATTTGAAGGATTACTAAATTCTATCATTCCACTATAAAATCACTATTGCCCACCATGTCTAAAATCCTCTGCAACTTAGACTCTAATTTTTGTTCTTCATCCATAGCTAACCTTTCACCAATAATTAAGAGTATTTGCTTTGGGTAGGAGAAGGATTGAGTAGCTCTGGGTATGAGAAGTGGGAAAGACACAATGAAGGATAAGAAGAGGGTTTAGGTATCAAAATAGAAGAAGACGCTCTGACTTCTTTTTTATTTTATGTTAACTTTTCTTAATTTTAATTATCAAAAAATTAATTTAGGATAAGGGTAGAATAGGAAAGAGAAAGAACAAAAAAGAAAAATTTGATTAAAAATTATTATAAAACAAAAGGGCGTGTAAGTGGAGAAAATGGGAGTGGAGAAATCAGCTCCCTTAAAAAAGGCTAAGATATTTCATATTTACCAAAAAGAAGGTGCTAGTATTGTGCCTTTTTGGTTGACAACCGGTCCATGTCTTCTCACAACTTGTGATTTATCTCAATGGGTGTGTCAGCATGCTTACATCCAAGAATTCTTGTTTTAGTGAGTAGATCCATCACATACTTCCTTTGAGACAAAAATGTACCAGTTTTTGAACTTGCTAGTTCAATTCCGAGGAAGTCTTTAAGCGTACCTAAAGCCTTCATCTCAAATTACCGAGACAAATACTTGTGTAGCTTATGTTGCTCTCTAGTGTCGTTCCCAGTTACGACCATATCATCCACATAAACAATTAATGCAGTGATATTTCCTTCATCACACTTCAAGAACAGGGTGTCATCTGAATTACTTTAAGTGTATCCAAAATTCTTCATGGACTTAGTAAATCTGTCAAACCATGCATTCGGAGATTGTTTTAACCCATATAATGACTTTATGCGCTTGCAAACTTAATTTTTCTTTTCAGGAGCTAACTTACATCCTGGTGGTAAATCCATGTATATCTCTTCTACCAAGTCTCCGTGTAAGAAGGCATTCCTAACATCGAATTGATGTAGTGGCCAATCTAATTTTGTTGCTAAAGACAGTAGGACTCTGATAGTGTTGATCTTGGCTATTAGGGCAAATGTCTCTTGGTAGTCCACCCCATATCTTTGTGTGTAACCCTTCGCCACCAATCTAACTTTATATCCTTCAATAGATCCATCTGCTTTGAGTTTCACAGTATAGATCAACCTGCATCCCATAGTCTTCTTTCCGTAAGGTAAAGACACGAGCTCTCATATGGCAATCTTCTGGAGAGCTCGCATGTAACACCCAGTCCCAAAAATCACTGTTCATTTGATTATTTAATTGTAGATTTACAATTTTGCCCTTGGGGGTAGGTTACCTTAGCCACTTTTTGATCTAGAAGGATTTAGAGGATTTGACTGGCACAATTTTGTAGAGCTAGCTCTCACGAGTTTCTTAGACACATAGTGGGCTCAAATCGGAGTTATAACGAAGAAATTGTGGTCAACAAAAGGGCAGTGGCACAAACGTAAATTTTTGGAACTTGAGTTTTAAAATACCCGATCAGCCTTTCTCTCTCTCTCTCTCTCTCTCCCTACGCACGTGACTTTCTCTCTCTAAACGAGTGGCAGCAAATTTTCAACGGGGCGTTTGACTGTTGAACGAGTATTGCACCTATTATGCGATATCCGGGTTCAATAAGTTCGGACCGTTCAATAGGTCCCATTTTCTAATGTGTTGTTCCTTGTACTTCTAGGATTTGTGTTGGAACTGGTGGATAGTGAATGGGCGTCCCGGATACTCTCAATCCATGATTCTAGGGTTTAGTAAACCGGTTACCGTCTGATTGTGTGATCAACAGCGATCCGACCACTCGTTCTAGACCAAACTCCCAAAACTTTTTAAGTAGACTTGTTGGACTTATAATAAAGTTCAGATTGAAAATCAGAGGTTCTGGGTGCTGCGGGCCCAATTGGTCAAATTCAACGATTGGGGTCAAACTGACTGTTAGATCGTGACAGGACTTCTAGAATGGGCTAAACTTTTGGTTATGGACCAATAGGAATTGTCATATAACAATTGGGGTCGTGGGCCCTACGAGCCCAGTTGACTTAGATTGTGGGCTTTGTTGGCTCGGTTGAGGCCCTTTAGTAGTTGTAATTGTAATTGGAGATTTGTTTTAAAATGGTATTGTGTTTTGAGTGTTTTGTTTTAATGTTTATGAATTATTATGCAATCGCTTTTACTTTCCATGCATGTTATATTATGTTTAATTGTGTGGAGTTGGGAATGGCTTGGATAACCGGGTTTTGGCATGAATAAGGAATTAATTAAATGCCTGATTGTATGTCTATATTTAAATATATGCTCGGTGGCTTGAAATCGATGAATGATGGATACTATTTTTCTCAATAGTATGTTGTACATATTTGAATGTAGTTTGAGAAAAGTTTTGAAAGATTATGCATGGTCAAATTCAAGTTAAGGAATGTTGGGATTGATCTCGTTTTAAAAAGGGATTTTTGGTTATCTATTTAAGAATTGATTTTTGGAAAGTTGAGAAAGAATCTAGAAAATGGATTTGAGAAAGTGGATTTGTGGAAAAAGAGGAATTTTATGATAAGTTTCGGAAAATGGTTTTCAAACCCACCACAGGAGTACCTCCCCCCCTCACCTCCAGTTGCCTTCAGAACAGTCTAGTCATTTCTGACAATGCCCCACGAGTCTCAAGGACCCCTGAACCATGTGGTGCAAGGATTTGCGTTCTCAGGTTGATTATATCTTCCTAAGTCCTAGAGGGGATTTGATAGATATGCGTTTCGGGCTGATCACCTGATTCTACAAGGATATGCATTCTCGGGCTGACCACGTGTTTCCCGAGTTCTGCGAGGACATGCATTCTCGGGCTGCCTATGTGTCCCTCGACTTCTGCTAGGATATGCATTCTCGGGCTGACCATGGGTTCCCCGAGTTCTGCGAGGATGTAACATATATGGTACTTGGAATTCACGCAATATTATTGGAATTGACGGATTATGATTGGGGGTACGCCTAGGTGGAGAGTATTTGAGTTTGGAGATGTTTTAAACTAAAATTGATGATTTTATCTTGGTACTTATTGGTGAAAGTTTTAATACATGTATTTAGATTTATGAGACAAGGATTGAAAGTTTTCTAAATTTTAAGGATTGTATACAATTCACAACTATTTTCTTGAGTGATGAGTTTGTTTTTACATGTTAAAGATGGAAGCATGTTTTATTCAAAGCGTTGATATTGATATTAAGGTTTCACATGGCCAATGTTATTTTAATAATTTTCTAGTTTTCGTACTTATCTGTAATGAGCTATTTCATATATATGTATTTGTATATGCACATATGTGATGGGCGGAAGATTGTTCTAAAATCAATATCTTTTGCTTAAGTTTCAGCGGATTGATTAGAGTTTGAAGCTTTTGGTTTTAGGAAAGTGCGATGGAACATTTAATTCATATGCTTACATGTGGGTTGAACTCTATTTTCTTGTATAAAGAACTACGTATGGCTTGATCCCTCAGTAAAGGTACTTGGGCAACCTAGGCTAACCTGGGTGCAGCCACAAGTTTTTTATTGTTTGTTATGTTCAGTTTGTAAAGTTGATTGTGTTGAACGCTCGGGGCTATTTGAGTTTGGTGTGCATGTGCCTTTTTCAAGGGAGACTCTACCGGTTTTCCGGTAGAAGTTAAACCCTAAATCAGTTTTTGGATTAGGGCAAGAAGCGTATTTTGGTCATTCGGGCCTGACACCTGCCAAGTGTTGGACAAAACCGAGTTCGACACGGATTCCAAAGTGGAATTTGGGTCGGGTCCTGTCATAGCATTTATTCATTCATGGCTTTTTTTCCATTTTGAGCCTTCTAGTGCTTCAATCACACTATTAGGGACATATATATATATATATATATATCTGCCAACTACTCCACAAAGTATACATGTGACTCTAATAATCTACTTAGAGATATATAATTATTGATGGTATATTTTCTTTTCTCTTTAAGATCTGCTTCTTACTGTACTCGAGGTTTGCCAATGTTCTTTCTTTCTGGAAGTTAGTGTATAGGGGTATCTGCATCCTTTATGTTTTCTGAAATCAAATTATCATGGTATATTTCGTTAGTGTTATTTGTTTCAGGAGGAGATGTTACCTAAACGACTTCTTCGAAAGGTGATTGGTGTGGTACTAAAGCTGAATGTGGGTCCGGATTAGGCAAAATCTCAACAACAACAAAAGTTCAACTTCCTCCTAATGATTTTGGCAGCATGGAGTTGACTAATCATTTTTCACTAGCAACCAGTTGTTTTGACACAGAGGCTTAATGTTCGGTAAAGGAGGACAAAGCGACCGATAGTTTGGGCAGAGCGACCAGTCGTTTTGGCACAATGGCTCTGGCTGTGAAGGAAAAAAAAGGGGTGATCGGCGACACATATTAGCCGGGATAGGTCTATCCCATCAAAGTTCGCAGGGACAGGTCTATCCCGTTAAAGTTCGTCGGGCTAGGTTTATCCCGAAAAAATTTGCCAAGACATGTCTAGTGTAGATTCGGTTACGTCATACTAACCCAAGACTGAGAACTAAACCTAAATCGTAAAGCCCTAGGTCGAGTTACGTAATTATCCAAGCCTAATCGAGTCCTAAGTGCCCTACAGTAGATTCATAATTAGAGTTTAAGGCTTGCGAATGATTTTGGAACAAGTTTGGACAAGTTCGAAACCTACGGTTTTTGGTTCGAGACTTGGATTTAGAGTTTGGAGAATAAAATTCGATTTTTAGAATTTTTAAATAATTGAAACTATTTTTAAAATAATTGTAAATTCCACAAAATTATTTAAGATAATTAAATATAATTAATTTGTATTTATTAAGTAATTTTATGAAATTAATTGAAATATTTAAATATTAATTCTTCACTAAATAGTATAGCCAAGCGGCTATACTATTTAAATATTAAATATAATATTTTAACGGTATAGCCGTGCCGCTACACCATAAATATAATATTTTAATAGTACAGGGCTATACTCCTTAAATATAATGTTTTAAAGGTATAGCCGAACGGCTATACACTAAAAAAAATATATATCTTAAAAGTATAGCCTTAAATATAATATTTTGACTGTATAGCCACACGGCTATACGTTAAAATAGAATATTTTAAATGTGTATCCGCACGGCAATACACCAAAAATTATATAATATCTTGAAAGTACAGTCGATCGGCTATACCCTGCAAATAGCAAACTCTCCCGACGAAGTTGCGTTGGCACATGTCTATGCCAGCAAATATTTATCGGATTAGACCTCTCCTGACGAAATTAACCTCTACC